TCTAAGGGATTTAATTTAGCACTTCTACATACTAGCTGAATCTCCAAAACTGAGTGATATGGTCTCAGTTCTTTAGGATTTTTATTTGTCCAGCTGGCCTTGAACTTACCATGTACCCAGACTTCTTAATCTGGTGTGTCTTCTTTTCAATTTATTGACAAAACATTCAGCCTTACAAATAAGCCTATTGGTTATAAGAGTGTATTATTGCTGAGCATCTTAGCATCAAATTAAAACAAGCACAGTGTTTTAAAGCACAAAGTTGGCTTTGGGACAGCAAAGCTGGACCTCACTAAGGATATTAAGGACATATTGATGATTAAGAAGACTTCTTGTGTCAATCCCAATATTACAGCTGAGAGAGTTCTCTAACCAGGTACATGTAAAATGGCCCAATTTTTAGGAGTTGTAGAAAATACTGTGGGAGACTAAAGTTTTACTTGTCAAACCAAGATAGACAGAGTTGCTTTGAACTGCTTGGAGTTGATAACTGATGTTTGTATTATATCATAGAGGGTAGGCCTGATGTTTGACAAATAATAATAACTTAAGGATAAAATGCTAAGTAGAACACTATATCAAATATATGCATATTAGCATATATTATGCATATTTGGTTTCTGAAAAATACAGAATAATGTTTAAAAGGGTTCCAAGGAATTTGAAAGAAAAAAGTATTTAAAATCTGAAGTTTTTAAAGCCAGTCATATCAATAACATTTTCTGAAATCTAAAATAAATTTGCCATTTTACATTTCATTTTTCTATTGCCAAGTATTTTATTGGCAAGATGTCAATGTGACTGGCTTATGCCTCCAGTTCAGCTGTGAGGGACAAGCAGACCAAGGGTAGCCTTGGTGTGCTTTGTCCAGTGCTAGGTGCCTTCAGGATTTCTTGGAAGCCCTGCCTGAGAGCAGTTGAGCTAAATTTTCCATTCTTCCTTCCTACCTGTTGACACTGCTCACAGTTCTGTTGAATCTGATTTTCCTCTTGTTTCAGTATTTGGGTCATATTTGCTTCCTTGAGGACTCTGTCATGCTCTTCCTTTAGCTGTAGCTCCTCTTGCCTTTTCTGCAGTAATACGATAGAGACAATCAGGTTACATCTCTTCAACAGGAACCCTCCCTCCCCTGAGATGGGCCTGGACCTGCCAGACCCACTGAACTTCTTCCTCTTAGAAGGGTTAGCTAGCCAGTAGCTCCAAACCCAACTCTACAACCCTCTAAGCTAGACTCCCTTCTTCCCCCTCAGAGTCCTACATCAGAGGTAGCGGAGACTAAGCAGTCTTCACAAGGTGGATGAGCCAAGAAACTTTCCATGCAAGCTCGGGACTCTGCCTTGGATTTCAAGCTTTTCTGAGCAAGCCAAACCCTCCCTAGTCAGGCCCAGTATATAAGCACACCTTTTCTTTATCGTTATTCACATTCCCATAATGGTAAAGCAAGAGAGCCAAGTACTCTATTGGGTCACTGGGTCGCACTCTTGCCACCTCTGCCAATGCCTGGGTCAGGCTGTTTCCAAAGCATTTCTTCAGGTAATCAGTTTCCATGCTGGGGACCTGGGAGACACCAAATCAAATGCTCTAGTTTACAAATGCTATAGATCTTTTAAAATGAATCCATTCTAACAAATATGAAGTATTTCTGAATCACAATTATAGTAGTTTTCCAGTACAATGACATAATGCTTGAGACCATCAACTAAAGGAGAAAAGAGTTATTTTGGCTATATGGCCATTTGGCCCAATCACTCTGGGCCTATAATGAGGGCAAACATTGTAAGAGAGGGTACCTGGTGGCATGGTGGGTAAGAGTAACTCACTTCAGGAAGTGGAGGGAAGGAAGGAGGAAAAGAGTAAGGGAGGGACACATACTGTTACCCCACACATGAGAAAGAGAGAGAGAGAGTCCTTTCCAAGGGTGTGACCCCAATGACCTAACTTCCTTCCACTAGGCTGTACCTCTTACAGACTCTGCCATTTCCCAATATTGCCATAGCCCCACCAAAAAGCCTTCAGTATATGACTTTGGGGGGGATGTTTAAGATATGAATCACAACACTCTGTCCCTGGCTCCCAAAGGTGAGTACTTACCTCACCATGAAAAATATATTTGATATATCTTCAAGAGTCACTGAAGTCTTTTGTTGTTGATTTGGGTTTTGTCTTTTGCGGCAGGTTCCTGTAGTATGGCCTAAGCTGGCCTTGAACTTGCTATCCTCTTGCCTCCATACTCTGAGTGATGGAACTACAGGCATGTACAACTGTGCCTGGCACTAAAGTCTTTAACAGTCCCAGAGCAACTCAAAAGTCAAAGTCCTAAGTCTTTTGTAAGGCTCAGGGACAACTCTGAGAGATAAGCCTCTGTAGAAATCAAAAGAAGTGGGTCAAGGTGGCACATGTCCCTAATGTTGGCCCTCAAGAGGCTGAGGCATGAGGATCAATTAGCGGCAGCAGAGAAGCCTCTCCCTGCAGTGGACAGTGGTTAATATAGCTCATAACTGGTCCAAAGTGCTGAGTATAGTGTCTCTTGAGTGTTCAACCCTAAATGGGACATCTGCATCAATCTCCACCCCAAGGCTCAAGGAATATCACAGAAGAGGGATGGAAAGCATTTAAGAGCTAGAGGGTGAGAATGAGTGCTGCGAAATGCTATCTTCATTATATGACATGGCATGAATTCACTGCAGCTATAGCTACCTATACAATATTAAATTAGTACAACCAGCCACCATTCCAACAGGCAGCACTAATTAGACTCAGTAGGTTATTAGTCAAACAGTGAGAGGAGAGAAGGTAAGAAAGGACTATATTGAAGGCATGTGGGAGGAGGAACTTGGACTGGATATGATCAAAATGCATTGATTAGATGTGTGAAATTGTCAATGAATAAATAAATAATATGCTATTAAAAACGATTTGAAGCAACATAATGAAGCAGTACCTCCAAAAAAAAATCAAAAGCAAGTTATTAGTACATATTTTCTAAGAAACAATAGAGGTCAAGCCTGATGATGGTGAAGACCTAAAATTCTATTTACTTTAGAGTCTAGGGCAAGAGGATCAAAAGTTCAAGGTCTTCTGGGTGGTAAACCAAGTTGAAGTCCCTTGGCATCTTAGCAAGACCCTGTTTCAAAATGAAACCTTCTTAGAGGGTTAGGGGTATAATTCAGTGGTAGAATTCTCGTCTAGCATGCAGAAGGCCCTAGGTTTAACTCTCAATACCACAAAAAGAGCAAGAGGAGGAGGAGGAAAGGGGAAAGAGGTAGAAGCAGCAGCACAGGAAAACATTTTTCCTCCCAAAGGGTAAAATAGGAAAAGGAAGAGTAAGTCTACAGCAAGACCAAAGCCCCAAAGGCCAAACATTAAATGCTGTAACTCCATGTCTGTTAGCATAGTAGTCTTACATGAGCTGCACGTGTTGGGCAGACTCTTTCCCATGCCTGGCTGGTAGCAGCTGAGCACATTTCTGGCATCTCTAACTTTCTGGGCTCTCCTCTGAGGCTTTGGCTTCATTCTCACTGCTTCAGATATTGCTCTCTCTACAGGGATTCTGTCCCTGTCACATACTGCCTGATCTTTCAGGGCCTCCTTTGAGATTTAAGTGGAAGCCTTCATGACATCACAGTTGATCCATTCTGTGTGCTTGAAAGAACAGCATGGCACGGACAACAACAAAATCTGTCACCAGCATGAGCAATAGCTGGGCTCACTTGGACCATAGCTCCAGAATCTTCGGAAAGCCTGCATGGCTAAATACAGGGAACTGAGCCCTAAGGAAGCAATTTCCTGGGCATTTCTGAGCCTCCCAGAGTCCTCTGGGTCCTCTTGTCAATCAGTCTTTAAGTCTGTAATGGGATAGGGACCAGTTGGCTCTTGAGATGCCCTCAAGGGATTTGTTCAATTGTGTGGCTGTGAGGTACCTGATTATGCCTTCATTTCCTTTGGGTGGGGTGGAGGGCAGTTGAGACAGGGTCTATGTACATAAGGCTGGCTCAAACTCTTAGAGATCCATCTGCCTCAGCCTTCTGAGTTTTGGGATTAAAGACATACCCATCACATTCAGGATGTGACTATTCTTGGCAATTACTTCTTCCTTGGATGTGATTATAGAGATACTTCTCAAATCACAAGTTTTTCAAGTCCTTCTATTCTACTTTTTACTCCCATATCTCATGTTAAATTTGGTGAAAAGCATCCAGAAACACTTAGCCTGATTGCTGTATTGTCTAGAAATTTCTTTTGCCTGGTTATCCCTACCTTTAAATTCAGTCTCAAGTAAAATCTCAGGGCATGAGCAAACTGCAGACAAATAGTTTGCCAGAATCCAACACAAAGGGCCTCTAGTCAGTTTTCAATAGAGTCTTTACCTCTATCTGAAACCTCATGAGTCTGTCCTTATGCCCCACATCTGTCCTATGCTGCACATCTGTCCTTATGCCCCACATCTGTCCTATGCTGCACATCTGTCTTTATGCCCCACATCTGTCCTATGTTCCACATGTCTTTATGCCCCATATCTGTCCTTATGCCCCACATCTATCTTTATGCCCCACACCTGTCTTTATGTCCACATCTGTCCTTATGCTCCACATCTGTCCTTATGCTTCACATTTTCATTGTCAGGTCCAAAGGAAACCCCATTCCCCCAAATTCCAGAATGCAGAAGGGACAAATGGCTACCTGCAGTGTCTATTAGCATACCAAAGTGCCTGCAGGCCTCCAGGCTTCCTCAGGACCTGTTACAGGTTTCAAAAATACATCCTAGCTAGCATCCTAGCCCTTCTCACCTCCTCCTCTGCACTAAACACCCCCAGTTCACAGGCTTCCCTCCCCCAAGTACTCATAACCCTGCTATTTCAGCTATGTGTTCTCTCTGTGTCCCCCCTCTCTCCCTCTCAGGATCTCCCTGTCTCTGTATCTCTTCCACTCCACCTCTTTCTCTCTATCTCTCTGCTGTGCTCCTGCTTCTCTCATGGTCAGGTCTTGTCCACTGGTCATGTTCAGACTACTTCTTTCTCTCTCTGCTCTGCATTCTCCAGATGCCTTGGCTATTTTCTGCCTCCCATCTACAATAAAACCTCCTCTTAACCATACCATCAACTGGTCATATCATCAGTTTATGTACTTATTGGTACTCTGGTCTTCAGAGCCCTGGCCAGAACTGCCCATCAAGTTCTGCTTATAGCACTGTAGGCTTGTTTCCCAAATTTTTCAAAATTCCTTCCACAAATTCCAAATTTTTCTGAAGCACACTATCAAGTAATCAAATCAATGAGCCTGATTTCTTGGTGTCAATTTCCATATAAGTAAACTCTCTGTTGCTATAACAAAATGCCGAGATAATCAACTGAAGGAGGCAGGGTTCACTTTTGTCCAGGGCTTCGGATATCTCTGGTCATACATAGTCACTTGGTTTCATTGGTTTTGGGCCTCTGGAAAGGCAGAGAGAACCTCACAGTAGGGAGCAACATATTAGAAAAAGCTGCTCACCTCATGAAAGTAAGGAGAGTGGAAGGGAGGGGTTAGAATTCCATAGTTCCCTTCAAGGGCATGCCTCTGGTGATGCACCTTCCTCCTGTGGGCCCTATACATTAAAGAGTCCATCAGCTTCCCACAGTGCTCCATGTATAAACTGACCACATGAGCTCCTTGCTATGGTTAAGGGGAAGGTTTTTATTATAGATTTGAGAGAGAGAGAATAGCCACAGGCATCTGAAAGAGTCCAGAGTGGAGGGGGTAGTAGGAGGGGAGCAGAGAAAAAAGTAGACTGAATAAAGCCAGCAGACTGGACCTGACCAGGAGAGAAGCAGGAGCAGAGCAGGGGGGCAGGAGGGAGGGGCATTGCAGGGGGGACGATGACAGAGAGAACATATTGAAAAAAGCAGGGTTATACGAATGAGTAGCTGGGGGACAGAATCCCACAAGCTTCAGGATGTTTAGGGGAGGGAAGATGGTGAGAAGAGTTACTTTGAAACAGGTACCTGTGATACAGACACTGATACTGAGGGAGCCTGGGGGCCAGCATCCACTTTGCTATGCTAACAGACACCACAGGTAGCCTTTTGTCCCTTCTGCCAGTGGAACAGGACATGTAGAGGGAACCAGCTTTGGCTTTACAAGTTCTTGTGAATGATGGCTTTTATCTAACCATCAGAAATGCTCCTGTGGTGCAAGTTGAGCCCATTTCTGGACATTTGGACTGCCTTTTGGAGTTTGGGGAATTGAAGTTTCATTTGGATCTAACACTATGGACAGACAGACAAACAAGCCTTCAGCAGGTGGCTTTTTTTTGGGGGGGGGTGGTCATTTAAGATCCAATTATAACACTACCTTTCTGAGAAGACCCAGGCAAATCTCACTTGCCAACAGCTGCTACAGTGAAGTGGGCTTCTTCCCTATGGCGCTCCAGCTGGAATATGTCAGACCATGAGTCCTAGTGCTCATCAGTCTTGAGAAGGCATGGCCCTACATATGCCCTAGGTACAGAGAAACTCTGGGTAAATAGCAAGCTGTGCTATTGTGAGGCTGGAAACTAGTCTATGACATAC